TGTTTGCATTATAAAAGACGCAACCACTGATAACTTTGGTACCAAGGTTTCTTTGTATATGTGTATACCTGTACTTGACAATAGAACATTCTATGGATACGTGTTACCTAATACGGTTTTTACCGTGCTCTCGATACCTATGTTATGTTAGTAAATAACTGTAACCTATTGCTACGTATGATATACTTTTATATTATCTTTATTTATGCAATATAATATATTGTATTAGGTCACACCGGTTTTATTTTATGGAAGCGGTGGCAAACTTTTTCTTACCATCAAAACAGAACCACCGCAATAAGATTAGGCCACTCTGTTCGTTTATTCGTCTTTAGCTCTATTATCATTATCTTTCTTCTAGCAACGCTCATCCCACGGTTAATAGTGATTAATCAAGGCAGCCCTGTAACACAATATATATTGGCTTTTTCTACTGCATTACTGTGAGTTTCTATCCTAAAACAAGTTTACTTTGAAACCCTTACTGATAAAGCTACGCGATTTTTCATACCATATAGTGGTGTACTTTTATTTCTTATTTTTGGAACAAATCGCAGAGCTGCCGTATTCCTCCCATGTTGTTACTACACTCCTCCTACACTTCCACTACAGACAATGCCAAGATCATTTAGTAGCTCTAATGATTCAGAGCAAGACAATCACGTACTCCAAACATTTGATCCGATAACAGTAAATCTTTCCGAGAATATTTCTCAAACTGATACTACAAAATCTAAAAGCAAGGCTTATTTCAGTCATTTGCCGAATATTTTTGGATACGGGTAGCTCAAAAATGTGATATAATGATTGTAATTCCTCTCAAAAATCTAAACGTCAAAGAGCTCTGTGACATGTAATTTCCATGAACAATATAATCTAAAAAGACGTGACATTTAAAAGACACGTCGTATTTAATAGGTTATTTTGTATTATACATAACCCGTTATAATACTTTTCTTTTGCAAAATTTACTAATATTTATTTCTTACACGTACAATTCCCCCATAACATATTTGTAAAACTTTTCATGTCATATATTCTCATAAAATAGGTTCTATGTCGAACCGTGCACAAAGTTTATTACCGTGATATTTAGTAATTGTAAATTATATACATCATTATAGACCACATTATATGTAGTAATTTAATTTACTTTTATATAATTTATGTGTATAGTGTTAATATACTGTATCTGGTATAGTATTATATCGCAAAAATTTAAATATTGCTTTTTTTTGATTGACTTTCTTTGTATAATTAAGAGCTAATTACTAAAACTTAATAAATCGTGAAATTATGCGTTTACAGATTATCATTAGTAATTTTTATAAATATCGTAGCTATAATTTTTATAAATACAGAGAAACCTTCTTAAATGCACCCCCTCGGGATCATAGTAAAAAATTTCAAAAACATGCACTTAGAGATGGTGTGTATTTTATAGAGCCAAATATATAGTATATTATAAGCTGTGACCAGACTACACTGTGCACTTAAAGAGATTTTACATAGAGAATGCATTTATGAAGGGTGCACTTAGAGAGGTCTCTCTGTAACTAGATGTTACCGTCGCTTCACTGCCGGTTTAAATTTACACATGTAATTTTTGCAGTCTAAATTTATA